AGCCGGTTGAGCTATAGGCGCCGAGCCTCATCCCTCAATTCTAATCCTCTTCTCAAGTCCCAGTAAAACCGCTACAAATAAATGGATACTCCAAATCCCATTCTTGTTTCAGTAAATAATTTGTGAATGACCCTGAAAATTAAAAAAGGAAAAAAAACTAACTTTCTGTAGATGCTGAGGTCTTCTGCTGAGAATCTACAAAGCTTTAAACCCCCTAGTGAGAGCTTAGACACTGACAATAAGACCCTTAGCTGTTTTGCTTGTTTGTTTTTAAAGACCATTAGCTGTTAATGAGGATGCTAATCCTAGGCTCTCCTCTTCAGTGCTTCTGTTTCTACACAGAAGCAGAGACTACAAGAGTAGAGTCTACCAGTAGTATGAAGGTAAAGCACTGGTGCAAAGGTATTTAGGTTAAGCTAAGTATCACCCACAAATCCAGCCCAAGCCAAAATTAAGTCCAGCAACCCATCCCTACCTCTTTGTTCTACTTTCCATGTTTACAGAAGAAAAACAGCACATCACGATCATTTGTGAAACTTTTTCAGCTTATATAACCCTCCCTCCTCTTCTAAGACTGCTATTCCTCCATCAGGATGGCAAAAAGGGTTTGGATAGATAATAGTCTGACTGTTAGAGCCACTGCCTTAGAAAGGTTTCATAGCACCTTTTTTTAAAAAAAAAAAAAAAGAAAAGAAAATCTCTCTATATAACAGCAGGGAGCTGACACTCAGCCTATCTAAATGGGACTTCTGAAGGAATGACAAAATCCAGGCAGGTAAGGAGAAGTAGGTGCACCTAAATAGTAATGACAGAAAATTCCCAAACAAATGGTCTGAGTACCTATTATGTTAGCTCAGCAAACAATAGGTTTTATTTGTTTTTCCCATTTGCAAGGCTACAAAGTATAGTATTTTAGACAAGTGACAAAGGAATTTGAGAATTATTTTGTAGCGAAGTTGACTTATTCAAATGATGAATGAATGACAAGGCCTTCTTAGAGACTAGAAAAATAAACAGTGAATGGGGAAGAAAACCATACTGACAAATAAATATTAGACCTGCATTAACACTGCCAAAGGCCTCACTTTCTCAGTTGTATTTTGCAGTACAGAGTCCTCAGATTTTGTTTTTTTGGTCTACCAGGCAGTAGGAAATCATCCAAGAGTTTGCCCAAGGACATTCAGGGCAATGAGCTGCAAAACTTAACTCTGGAAAGGTGGCTGTTCTTACTACTCTAAAAAAATGTGCCCAAAGTGTAGAAAAATGAATTCAGATCCCAGTTTTAACAAAACAAAAACAAGCCATAGTTGGTGCTAATGCACTTAGCCATCAGTGCCACAGGATGGACTACGATTTAAAGGCAAGTGAGCAATGAAGTGTCATCTGAGATGACTGATGAACATAGATGATATAAGGGGGCCTAAGTCCCCTGCTCTGAATCAGTACAGAAAAGCTGTGTCATGATCTGCAGAGAAAGAGAAAGAGCTATTATTTCTTGTCCCTGGTGAGAAAAAAAAGAAGGGACATCAACACTACTCATAGGCTTGTGTAATCAGAAACTGCTAAAAATGATTAAAAGTATATACTACATCATATTGATGTTTGCTGAAGATACACCGTGTCCCAAGAATTAAGCAAAAAACTGTAGGGCCCTGCTACTCGTTTTTATTTTATATTTTTTCCAACTCATGAATAAACAATTTTAGTTGGAGGAGTTAGTTGACTCCACCTCTACAGAAGACAAAATTGTCTTTAGCCAATTGGTCAGGACTACAAATGTTCAAACAACACCCATGCATGACAAACAATAGTTATCACTAGAAAAACTTCTCAGGGGGCGCCTACACAGGAAGACCTACGCTCAGGCTGGTGAACCTCGCTGGGGCCAAATATTATACCTGAAGCAGTGGAATAGAGAAACGTCAGCACACTGAGTCCAAGTAAGCAAAGATCCTTTATTGATCGGCAGGGTGAGAGTGGGCTCACGCTTCAAAGTCTCTCGACCCCTACAAGCAGGGATGGACACCTTCTATAAGGGGCTTTCGGTAAGGGGGGAGGAGGAGTCCTTAATGCAAGCCGAATTTCACAAGAACCAACACCTGGTAAGGGGAGTGCTTACAAGGGAAAGCTGGGGTTTTGCAGTTATTACTAAACTCTGAGCGTCCTGTCTTAAAGGGGGAGTGTTGAAAGCCCTTCAAGATAGAGTTAGGGCATAACACTTGCAGTGCCGTCTGTGGGCTAGTGGTATCAGTCTCACGAGGTTGGAAACACAGACTCGAGGGCCCCCCCTGCCCCCGCCAAATAATCGAAATCTCCAAGCCGTTTGTTGGCACATAAAAACGTTATGAGAGGCGCAGCAGAGTATCTCACTACATTCTCCTAACAGGCTTGTGCGATAAGTACTGTTAAGATCTCTATTTCACAGAGTCAAAAAATTAAGGTTCAGATAAGTCTCTTGCCAAAGATCATGGAACTACGAAGATAGTTCCGTACGCAAGGGATGCCGAGGTTCTCCCGAGAGGCAGGCCTGCCAGAGGGGCCCACAACCCCAGCCAGGAATCGCTGAACAGGGCCTCGGTGCGCGCTGGACCAGATCCGGCCAGGAGGGCGCGAAATACATACCAAGGCCCCGGTCGCTCCTGAGCGCTGAGAGCGGCCTCCGCCACTCACCTGAGCTGGGCGAAGGCAGGCACCGCAACACCAAAGCAGGTATCTCGAGAGCAGCAGTAGCACGGATACTCCTTTGGCAACACCCGGCCTCACAGCCCCACTTCCGGCCAATTGCCCACTATTTCCGTCTGTTGTGCGAGTGACGGGTGCCGCCGAGGTTCAAAAGACGTTGTCAGCGTTTCCCAAGGACGTTTTCCACCGGAGGATGTTGCTGGGAAGACAAGAGGAATCTAGGACCTGTGGAGGGAAAAACACCTGCCTGAACGTAGCGCTCTGAAAGTAACTGACTAGCTTATGCCAGTTTGAACCCAGAATCGCCACTCAGAGTTTTAGGGCATTAGGGAAGTCACGTAAAGCCTATAAGTACAGTCACAGTCATAATGCATGTATAATAGAGATTATAATGTGCTTTTAGAAGACGAGTTAGTGATGTGATGGATAGACGAGACTGTTAGCAGAAACGGTTCTGAGGAGCGAGAGGTTGAGGAGGCCAGAGCTATGGCAGATGAGCCAGGGTGCGCCTCCATCTCCCTAAGTAGAGAGCTCCACCCGTGTGTCGCTATGGGCACCTAGGCAAGGAAGAGTCTCTACTGAGCCTCAGGGTCTTCAAACCTTGAATGAAAGCTACTAATCAAAGTCTTCATACCTTGTCAGTGCCTTGGCTACTGGCTAAAGGCTGTGAAGGAGACCTGAGATATCATGCTCCCCCTGAGGCACCATCTTGTCAGGGAGACAAAGTCAGTGTAGGGAGAACAAGCAAGGAAGGCAAGCCTGGAATCCCAAGTCCTTGAGTGTGAATGGCACTGTTTGCGTGGGTGTGAACATCTGGGGACCCAGACCACTGATGCTACTGCTTAGAGATGGTTCTCTCACACAAGCCAAACCAGGGAAAACACTGCTAGTTGCTGATTATGATTCTCTCCTTGCTAGAGAACAAGGATAGAACAACCTAGAGAGAGCAGAGTGCCCATCCCCAAGCCTGGCTCTCTTTGACAATACTCAATTTCCCAGTCTCCTTTGAAGTGGGAGGATCATGTGACTCAGTTCTGGACAACAAAATTTAAAGGGAAGGGTGCTAGCAGAGTTCTGAGAAAGCTTTTATTATCATGATAAAATGGTACAGCCTCAATCCCTGCACTGAGCTGTGGCAGCCACCTTGTGGTAAAGAGGGAACATGGTAAGGATGGGACAGTGGAAGGATGAAAAGCCTGGGGCGGTGGCTCACACCTTTTATTCCAGCACTTAGGAACCCAGAGGCAGGTGGATTTGTGAGTTCATGGGTTTGAGACCAGCCCAAGCCAGAGCAAGACCTCGTCTCAAAAAAGAAAAAAAAATAGCTAGGGCAGCACCTGTGGCTCAAAGGAGTAGGGTGCCGGCCCCATATGCTGGAGGTGGTGGGTTCAAACCCAGCCACAGCCAGAAATAAATATATATATAGCTGGGCATTGTGGTGGGCGCCTGTAGTCCCAGCGCCTCAGGAGGCTGAGGCAAGAGAATTGCTTGAGCCCAAGAGTTTGAGATTGCTGTGAGCTATGACACCACAACACTCTACCAAGGGCGACAAAATGAAACTGTCTCAAAAAAAAAAAAGAAAGAAAGAAAAAGAAAAGAAAAAAATGAAAGGTTGAAAAATGTAGGTCCTTGAGGAACTGATTCCTATGACATTCAAGTCCAGACTTCTTCTCAGGTGAGGAAAAATAAAATCCTCTTTAAGGCCTGTTATGTTACTTATAGTAAAAAGACTTGAGTATCAGTGGGGCTTTGTGAGGATGACAGAAGAAATTATAATAAAGGGCAGCTCTCTGCTATGCAGCATGTTTGGGTCCCTTTTGCTTTGGGGGACCTCATCATTAATTGCAAACCGATTCTCAGCCTTCACCTCTATCTACTCTGCCCTTGAACTTCTGCCAATTGCTATTGGGTGACTTAGGTGACTGCAGGCTGCATCTAGCTGTCCTGCATCACCCATTTTCTACCTAGAAGCTTTGTGCCCAGATTCTGGAATCAGTTTAAAGTCCTTTTGATGACAGACTGAACTGAAGAGAAAGCCCCATTGGGCAGAAATGTGGAACTACGACTCCTGAGCAACGTGGAGGAGCTTGGGCTTTGGGCCAACCTAGCACGGCCTAATGAGCACCTCTGGTCTCGTGTCTCCTCTAGGAAATGTTTACTACAGCTTTGCCCTCCACAAACCCTCCCACCCAGGCCTCACCTCCCACACCTGCAAGGACACAAGAAAGCCAAAGAATGCCACTCAAGAGGCTTTCTCCATTTTATTTCTTTGGGAAAGGAAAACAAAAAGTCTTTCCATCACATATGGTAGAGATATATATTTTTATATATTTATATATAATTTCTTTTGTGGTTGGACATCCCAAAGCTAAGTCTGTTCATATTTTTTTCTATTTTTTCCTACTAATGCCTTCTCTTCTCCCTGCCCCTGTACCCCAGGGCTGGGTTCTGGGGCAGGTGCAGTGAGGGGTGAGTGGAATGGGCAGTGGTTGCCAGGATGGCTTCCCATCCAGCTCAGAGACCTGGTGAGGACCACCCAGAAGGGGCTGTGCAGGGGGTTAGAGGCCACAGAGAGGGGCACTCGGTTTTGTGGGGGATGCACAGCTCTTTAAACAGTCACCAGTCATGGGAGGAGGCTGGTCAAGGGCCAGGGGACTTGCTCACAGTAGTTGCCAGCTCTCTCCACCCTGCTCCCCAAACTCAGTCTTGGGGGTCGGAGAAAGAGAGAGTGAAAAGGAGAAATACAAGGGCTGAGGGCCAAGCCTCCTCCAATTTTTATTGCTGGTGAATTAGAAATTTGTTTTTCCCTTCCTATCTTGGGGAGATGGACTCTGAGAGGGCCCAGAGAGGAAGTGACATTGGCTAGCCTAGCTCCTGATGATGGCCATCCCAGGCCTACCCTGGGCAAATGCTAGGCCACCTCATGGACCTGGGAACCAAGGGGTCAGTGTTCCTCTTAGGGTAGCCTCATTCTTCAAGGGCAATCACATCCAACCCTCCCCTGCACCCCCGCACAAGGGCTCTGGGCTCAGATTTGGGCCAGTCAGTGGAGCTGGGAAGTGGGCAGTGCACCAAAGATCAAGCAGAATTTTCTACTGAAAGAAAAGGTGAGACTTTAGGGACAAGGTGGCCTGGGAAGATGATGCGCTGAGCATGAAAGCAGGAGGCTGGGGGAATCAGGTGGGGGAAGACATTGCAGACACTCATCACAGAAACTGGGTGAGTGGAGTGCCTGAGAGGCAGGTAGCACTTAATAGCTGTAGTTAGAGCTGAACAGTGACCCTAGGTGTGGGGTTAGCCAAGCAGATGGGGCTATTGCCCTGCAGGATCCTGGCCAAAGGGTGTAGGTAGAGCTGAGAAGCCTCCAAGTAACCCAAGAACAAGAGGACATTTCTTCCCTGGGTGCTGAGATTCCAGCCCTAGCGCCCTCCCCTCCCCAACACACACACAGGGAGGGACACACTCAGGACCTGGCCAGGCTCTGAGGCCTGAGCCCAAGAAACCTTGGGGGGGAGGGGCTGGGCAGGTAGCCCTCTCAACCACAAGCAGGCCATCTGCTCCCTCTTGTCCTGCCAATCTGCCCAGGGAGGGAGAACACTGCAGAAAGGAAAGAAACCAAGAGCCCAGGGTCAGCTTCAGCAGACCCTGTGCAGGCCCCCTCAGGCTCCACTGCCTAGGCGGTGAGCACAGAAAGCATCACTGGACACAGGGTGGCCAACAGCAGCAGCCCAGACTCCCCAGAGGGGCTGGGGCACCTTATGGCACTGCAGGCCTGTGGTTTCTATCTCCAAGTGGGTGCCAAGAAAGGAAGCATGACTCCTCTGCTGCCTGGGCCCTCATCCCAACTCACTCTGTCCTCCCCCATTCCCTCCTTCTAGGAGGGTCCAAGTGGGCTGCCCACAGGAGCAGCTGGAGCTGGGAGGGCACAGCACTGGGGGTAAGGGAGGGGTCGCAGGGAGGAGCCTGGTCACAGCTGCTTTGAGAACCTCTTTGGTCTGGGGATACGGGTCATATGGGGGAGAGAGATGGAGGGTGGGGACACTGGGGACTCTGGCCTTTTAACAGGGCATTTGTCAGAAGGCCACGTGCCCAGGTCGAGGATCAGATTTCTGTGGACTCAATACGCTCAAGGCGAGAAGGGGTCCAGGCTTTCTTCTCTTCCCCATGTTGGGGAGTCGGTGTGCTTGCACCCCCCGCCGCCCCGCGCTCCCGCAGCCGGCGCTCCAGCTGCTGGTTGCGCTGGTACATCTCCACGTAACTCAGCTGCAGCTGTTTCTGGTACTCGATGACCTTCTCCTTCTCCTCCAGCCACACGCGGCGCTCCTCCGCGAAGCTGGCACCCTGGCGCTCCCGCGCGCGCCTCTCAGCCGCCAGCTCAGCCTGCAGCCGCCCCACCTCCCGCCGCAGGGCCCGGGTCCCGCTTTCCCCGCCGGCCTCCGCCTCCCCGTCCACGGAAACTAAGGAGGCGGCGGCGGCCACCCCGGCCTGACGGCGCATCTTGGCTTCGTCGCTCTCACAGGTAGCTAGCGCGTCCTGTGGCTCAGCCGGGTCCATGGGTGTCAGCGCCGGCTTGAGGCAGGTGGCGGGCAGCTCGCCCTCACTCAGCTCCAGGCTGGCCTGCTTGCTGCCGAAAGAGTCCCTCAGGCTGAGCAGCTGCTCCTCCTTCTCCCGCAGCGAAGCCCGGCCCTCCCGCAGTTGCGAGCGCAGCCCCACGATCTCACTCAGCTTCTGCGACACGTCCGCCTGCGAGTCCTTCAGCTGCTGCTTCAGGAGGGAAATCTCACCGGCCTTCTGGCACACCTGGGCAGGACAGGCAGAGGAGAAGCCGGGGGGAGGGTAAAGGCGGAGCCCTGCTCACCCCAACCTAGCCGCCACGTCTGGCACCAAAGGCATGAGCTTCTCCAGGGCTCCAGCTCAGCCCGTCATCAAATTGGGCGGCAGTGACACAGGGGTGCCCAACCTAGACTCAGGACAGACATGGCAAACTGCACACAGCCCGGGGACAGCCTCTAGTCCTAACAGGCACTCCTACTTGATTCTTG